AATAGAAGAAAAAAAACCCAATATATATATATATATATATATATATATTACGTACATGGCAAACTTTATTCCTTAACAAAATTGATCATTACATATTGCCCTCGAGAGTGTTACGTACCAAACACCTTACCAAACACCTTCCCATGCATGGTGGAGGAGGGGTTTGCAATTGCGATAGATTATGAGCTAATCTATTACGTTCTCACTTCACGTGCTAAAAAGAAATAGAATCAAAATGACATTTCTTGCCTCGAAGATCTTCAACAATAGCACCAAAATTAAGGAAGATAACATTCCTCATTAGAAGCAGCTACCACAACAGCTTATAGTCTATCTCAACCTTTCTACAACCAAACTCTTTCCCTATTTGCAATGCAAAATCAATGGCCATAATCTCAACTTGTAAGACTAATCCTTGAAACTCGCTTGCTTTTTGTGCTGCTCCTAAGACCTTGCTTTCACTATTTCTGAGAACAACACCAAGCTTAACCAAATCTTGGCTCGGAGGAATTATTTCATCAGTGTTGATTTTAATGATATATCTTTCCTGGGTGGTTGCCACTCAGCTATCTACACTACCTAGTCAAGATTCCTAATCCAATTACCAACCTTACAAGTACTTCGAAAGTTTATAATGTAATTTGATATCCATTTAACAATGTACTCTGGTTGAGTGCACAGATCTTTGAAAGAACAATTATTCCAATTATTCCATATAGCCCAAAAAGTGACTGAACTCGCTCTTTGCTATCCTTATTCAATGCCAAAAAGGAGTTCAAAAAATAATAAATATAGTATTCACTCCTTATATTTCTAAGATCAAAGAATTGACATGACCCACTCCAAACCAATTCTCTCCACTTGCATCTAAAGAAAAGATGGTGGTAGAATTCTTCTTCTGCTTCACAAATGCTACAAGTTCTATTAGTTTCTACCCCACAGTTAAGCAAAGCCAATTTAGAGTGTAGAATTTCCCATACAAACCTCCAAAAGAAATGTTTTGTTTTTGGAGGTAATATCCAAAAGGACAATGATTGACTTACCCTCTGCCGTTACACATCTATCCACACATTAACGGAATCCGTCAAGTATATTAACGTCTCCGTTACACACCTAACGCCTAAACTTCTCCATCTTCTTCAAATCTAGAGAGTGCTGGGTTTCTTAATCTTGCTGCCATTAATGTAAGAAGCAAACATCCAACCAAAAAAAGTGTCCGACGTTGCCTGTTGCTGCCAACATTCCATCTTTTTTGGAGCACCCATTGGACATTTTCAACAACGCACAAAGAATTCAAAAGAAATTTCCAGCAACTCACAACAAATCAAAAAAAAAAAAAACCAGAATAAGAATGCTTGAATTTTGCTCTCCACCTTCATCACCGATCATTCTTCTTCTTCTTTCCCTCACCTCTTTCTTTCTTCTTCTTTTTTTTTTTCTCTCTCGGTGGAGAACCCAGATCTGGGTTCTCACCGGAGAACC